TGACTCTTGGTCTCAGCTCAGATCTTGATCTCAGGGTCATGAGTTCAAGCCCAGCTTGGGCTCCACACGGGGCCTATAAACAAACAAACAAACAAACAAACATTTTTGGCCTAATTTTTGGTTATGCAAATCTAAAGTTCTTTCCTTCCTCTGACCTCTACAGATTTAAAGTTCATATTTGCCAATTTCTTTGGCTCACAGAATCCTCATAGTCTTGAATAAGAATTACTTACTTCTCATCATTCTGGAACCTAATTAATAACTCCCTTTCTCCAGCTTTGTCCACATTGGTTGGATCCCCATAGAAGCAGGGAAGCTGAGCTATGTTCATAAATCTGTTATATAGCTGAATATAAGGATGCTCACTGGTTACCCAGGAAGTAAACATTGACAAAATATCCAAATAATTAAATAACTACACACCCACATCATTTTTCAGGGATTTAAATGTATATGGTTCAGCTTTTCTGACTCATGTCATTATTCTTTCAGTGATAGAACGGACATGGTACACTGCTCTGTGAAGAATACCTCATTACCTTTCACAGTTCCCTTAATTTCATAGTGTTGCCTAAAAATATCTTTTCACTAGAAGAGCCTAGAAGAACAGCACTCCAGAGAGTTGTGTTTTCCATTACATTGATCTTAGTCAGTAGACTCCAATGCGTGATTGAGTTGCATGCTACTAATAAATTAACAAACATTATATCTGTTCTCACCTGCATTTTAGTCTTTCATCTGGGTGCTGACTGATATTTAATGTTAAGCTAATACACGAGTTGCTTTTTCTCTCTTTGTGTTGTTTTGGATTATTTATTTTCTTTCATACATTTACCAATGACCAATCTGCTCAAAAATACACACATACTGATGATCTATGTAACATATCCAGGAAAATAAATTTATTTCTATCAAGAAAAATATTATATATGCAACTAATGAATACTTGAACACTACATCAAAAACTAATGATGTACTGTATGTTAGCTAACTGACCATAATAATAAAAAAAGAAAAATATTATATATGCAGTGACTCAATTCTTAGATTATGAAAACCAACTTTCTGGGCACTATAATCAGTGGTTGACAGCTTTTATTGGTGCCCAAAAGGAGTCAAATGTAAGACAGGCCCGTTATAAAAGTTCACTGGCTATTCGCCTAAACCCTATTCACACAGTGGGGTGATACTGGTTAAAGCAAATTTTAAAAAAAAGATAAAAGGTAAATCTTATGCCGTAAGATTAACTCCTAAATGCAGATTGGTTCTGATGCAGGCTGGCTTGGTCCAAAGACCCAGAGGGGTCCTACAGGATGAGCCAAGAGGGTTCTTGGCTTTGCACAGGATAAAAATCAAACTCGAGCTGAGAGGAAGTGGGAGCAGAGTTTATTGAAGATGTAGAGAGATTGCAGATACAGACAAAGCATGTGGAAGATTTGGAAAGGAGAGTAGAGTGAATCTCATCTTTGCTTGGTGTCTGGGGTTTTTATTGAGGATGGTACATCCTCAATAAATCTCAGGCATCCAGGAACGGGACAAAATGAGGACAAGTGCTCAGGTGTTCTCCATAAGTCATTCATGCCCTGGAGCCAAGGGTCTTGGCATCAAGGTGTCTGGAGTCAGTGGTCTTAGAAAACGTGCATGACAACCTCATCTGGTCACTCCTTAGATATTATCTATTATGCTGGAAGACTCCAAAGAAATCATTAACTCCTTGACCTTTACAAAGAGGAAATACATTAAGGCATGTGTAAAGGGGAGGTGCAGGTCCTAGCAAGAACAGAGGCAGCAAAAAAGCCGTCCTTGATGGGGACTCTTCAGTTCCCTATCTTCATTCCACGTACTAAATTTTTACCTGATAATTTTGAGAATTGCTGATGTTTTAATGCTGAAGTATACATACTCAATATACGGATAATCCTCACCTGGCAAGAATATAGTTCCTGACTAATAGTTGAAGGATAATCGGAAAACCTATAGCTAGATGCAAAAGGTAATCAGGACAGAAGCACTGCCAAGGGACACTGTATTGGTTAGGGTTCTTCAGAGAAACTAAATCAAGAGGAGACTGAGATGTATTATAAGGAATAGGCTCACATGATTATGGAGGCTAAGAAGGCCCACCATTTGCAGTCTGCAAACTGGAGACCCAGGAAAACCGGTGGTATAAGCTTCAACATGATTCTAAAGGCCTGAGAACCAGGAGTGCTGATGGTGTAAGTCTCAGCCCAAGGGCCGGAGAGGGTGGATGTGTCAGCTCTAACAGTTAAACAGAGAGAAAATTCGCCCTTTTTCCATCATTTTTTCTTTTTCTTTTTTTAATTTTATTTTATTATGTTACGTTAGTCACCATACATTACATCATTTGTTTCTGATGTAGTGTTCCATGATTCATTGTTTGCGTATAACACCCAGTGCTCCACGCAGTACGTGCCCTCTTTTGTTCTACTCAGGCCCTCGGCAAGATTGGATGATGCCCACCCATATTAGGGATGGCAACCTGCTTTACTCCGCCTCCAATTCAAATGCTAATCTATTCCAGACACACCCAGGATCAATGTTTAACCAGATAGCTGAGCATACAGCAGCCCAGACAAAATTAACCATCGCAGGCACTGATCTGATTTGAAGTCCTGGCTGTAACACTATGCATGACCTTGAGCCTAGTTTTCTTTTTCTTTTTTTTTTAAAGATTTTTATTTATTTGAGAGAGAGAGAGAGAATGAGAGAGATAGAGAGAGAGCATGGGGGCGGGCAGGGTCAGAGGGAGAAGCAGGCTTCCCGCTGAGCAGGGATCCCGATGCGGGACTCGATCCCAGGACCCTGGGTTCATGACCTGAGCCGAAGGCAGACGCCCAACCGACTGAGCCACCCAGGCACCCGAGCCTAGTTTTCTTCATCTGAAAAATGAAAATAATAACACTCCCTCCTAAGAGGATGGGGAGAGTAAAGAGGAATAGAATAGATGTAAACATGCCGTGAAATTTTTAAAGTGGCCTAGAAATATAAGGTACTATTATTTCTGTTTCCTGTTAGTGCCACACTGTAAGCTATTAAGATACAGTAACAGGCTTGGAAAGCAGAAATTCAAGACAAATCCTTTGTCAAGTGGATCTGTTGGAGGAGACAATATAAATAAGCTTGACAAGTCATTTTAAGCTTTTGGATACAGCGGTAGGTAAAATATTACAAAAGGTATAAAAGGAAAACCTTTGCCAGAGAAGCTGTGCTAAAACTGACACACAGTCTAGGAGATCCATTGAATAGGAATGCATATAGATAGGCCAACACAGCAGTGCCTGGACTGTTATGCAAGCAAACTGTCTCAAAAATGCAAACAACCAATTGGAGTCACTATCTCAACATCAGTACATGTGAAGGTAGTGGAGTGCTGGTCCTCGAGCATCTACATGCTTGCCATATCTCTGTGCATACCCAGTTAGACAGAGAATGTATTGCAAAAATAGAAGAAGCAATTGCTTACATCAGTGGTAGAACCAAATGTCCAGAGAGAAAGAAAGAATTAGTGATGGAAGTAAGCGCACAGAATAGCTCCTGCGTGAAAAGCTGTTTGGACTTAGGCTTCCCAGAAGTCCCAGACCTGTCACTCTCCTAGCTACTGTCACTCCTTACACCAAAGCTGTCAGGTTTGAATAATAGAAAACCTTCTGTAGCTTCCTCCGGATACTGAGTTCACAGAGAGGGAGGCAATTGAACTATCCCACCATAGTCCTGGTTCTTTCTTCTCTGACAGATCCAACTTCTACTGAAAGTGACCTTCCAGCGATAAGAAATGAGGAAAAAAAAAATGTTGGGAAAAAAAAATTGTCACAGCTTTAAACTAAGAATCTGATAAAAAGTTAAATAAGGTAAATGATTTGAGTAAAAATGATTTCCCCCAAACCATCATCTTCTCCCAAGCTTTCTTAAGTTGGTTAAGATTCTACCAGTGTTCCGTCAGTCACTTAAGCTCAAGCATGTGCTCATCCTCAGTCACCCTTGCTGCTTCTACATGCACAATTTAATAATTGTCAAATTTTATTATTTACAGGAACACACTATAGCAGCATCTCTTGTCTCTTTCTTTTTAGCCCCTCTGTTAATATTGTAGTTTGTTTTCATATTGTTTTATGAAGTCACTAAAACAGGGTTCCAACTGGCCTCCCTCCTCATGTCTTTCTCTTGCTCTAATCTCTGCAACACTACCAGGGCAGCTCTCCTGCTCACACCACTCTCCAACGGAAAATCCTTCAGTGGCTTACCGCTGCAGAGAAAATTAAGCTTAAATTTCCTATGCTAAGGATTAGGAGTCTGAAAATACCAAGCACTGGAGAGGTTATGAAGCAACAAGAACTCACATTCTGCTGCTGGAAGTGTACGGACAGAACTGTTTTGGAAAGTTGATTCTCAGAATCTGCTAGAGTTAACCACATGGATATCCTATAACCTCCAAATTCCACTTAAACAGTCACTTTGATAAGTAGACAGTGGTGTATTCATACACTGGAGTACTTATAAAACAATGAAAATGAATGAACTATACATACATTCAACAGCATGCACAAATTTCATAACAATATTCAATGAAGTTAGACACAAAATAATTTATGCTATCTAATGACATCATATAAAATTCAGAAACGGATGGGGCACCTGGGTGGCTCAGTCTGTTAAGTGTCTGACTCTTGATTTCAGCTCAGATCATGATCTGGGAGCTGTGAGATCAAGCCCCATTGGGCTCCCTGCTGAGCAGGGAGTCTGCTTGAGATTCTCCCTCTCCCTCTGCCCCTCCCCCCTGCATTCATTCTCTCTCTCCCTCTCTCTCTCCAAAATTAGTAAATAAATAAATCTTTTAAAAAAAGGCTTCAAAACTAGGCAGCACTAATCCATGAATCCAATTCACACAACACAGGCCCCAACAAACCAAAATGCAAATAGAATAACATCAATTTCGTAAGGAATCTGTGGAGCACAGAATCTCAGTCATTATGTCCACTTACTTGTATGTGTGGTTTGCAAGTTCCACTGTGCCAGGGGCAGGACCTTAAAATGCAACCTGTCCCTTACCTCTCACTATAAGTAAAATGAAGGCTAAAAAAAGATCATAATACTGGCAATTAGAAATTGATCACAAATACATATTTATTGCATGCATATCATGTGTTAGAAATTGCTTGACATTTGATCAAGACAAGTCAAACTGCAGACTGCTAAAGAGTAAATGTGAAATAAAGATTCAGCAGGGGGTACACTGAGAGATTATTGATTGTAGGAGCAGCAAGGCTGAAGAAAATGTTGATAGGATGAAGAAGATTTTTCCATGTTTTAGGCTGAGGAGAAAGTTGTGGGAAGAGATAGATTGAAAAAGCAAGTGAGAAAGGACATAATTGTTACATCAAGAACTTGCAAGAGGTAGAAGGCTTGGGGTATGTAGGTGAAGGACAGGAGGAATCATGACTGTGGAAAGAAGGAAGATAAATATGGGTGAGAACTGTAAACCAATTCAGAGGTGAAGAAGAAGTAAAATAAGTCTCAGGCAGATGACAGGAATTTGGAAGGAAAGGAAGGGGATGATCCAGGGGAAAGAATAAGTGAACTTCAAAGAGATGGTCTGAAGCAAGTTTTTCACAGCTATAACAGCTATTTCCTCTGTGAAATAGTCAAGGTAATCTGCTAAGGGGAAATAGTGCAGCATTAAGTGCAAAACTTAAAAAGACCGGTAAGAAATGACCAGCATGGGGAATGGGCAAGAGTATGTAAAGATTTGTTAGAGGATATTAAGACCCCAACAAAGATTGAAAATCATGAATGTATAAGGCAGGCAATCAACATGGCTGTGTGATTTGCTCCAGTATTATTTAATGCCTGGTGTTAAGATCAGAACAAACAGATGGTTAGGTTATTCTAGAATTGAGGCTTAGGATAATGGAATGAAAAGAAGGTCATGAGAGTGTTGGGCTGGTGAGAGAGAGGTTTAACTGAATACGATGAGTTGTAGGTTGGTTTGAATAAGGAAAGAAAGCCAAAGGCTTATTGATCAAGAACATACAAAGCTGGCAAAGTAGAAGAATCAATGAGAGTAAAGAGCAGCTGCTCCCCGACATAAAACCTCTTTAGGGCTATTCTGCAGCCTTTATCTGGCAGATAAAGTTCAATTTACTTCTTATAACAAGGCTTTCCATAATCTTACTTGCCTAGCAAGTGCATTTCTCATTCCTTCCCACAAATGCCCACAGGCATTCCACATGTCCTGGTAACCGAATGACTATGTTGCTTCCTGCTTTCATGGCACTGCTGTTTTTCCTGAAGAGCTCCTCTTCTAAATCCCCACTCACCTGACGAATTTCCGAATTTCTCAGCCTTTGAGACTCATCTCAAGCATCTCTTCCTTTTTAAAGTCTCCTGTGGTAATCTGTCTGTATTTAAAAAAAAAAAAAAAAAAGGCTGCTGAATTTTTATCCCATCCCTGTAACACTCATGCCATTACTTCCGCAAAAGGCCCTTGATTTTGGGCGGGCCAATAAGATGCTATAGAATTGGCACTGTGCCAGTTCCAGTGTAACCAACTACCATACTGTAAGAAAGTTCAGGCTATTGTGCCTAAAGTATCTCATGTGGAAAGAAAGGCCACAGGGAGGGAGCATTGGCATATAGCACCTATACCCAGACATGTGAGTAACACCTTCTTGGCTCTTCCTACCAATCCCAACCACTAGTTGAACGTAGATGGAGCCCAATCAACCCACAGAATTGTGAGAATTAATAAATCATTGCTATTTTAAGCCTCTACGTTTAGGGGTTTAGTTATGCAATTAGAGATAAATAATATATCTCCCATTTCCAACTCAAGTACAACTGCTCAAACTTTCCATCATATCACACTACTGTTCCTATAATATACCTCTAGCATTTTACTTATTACACTGAGATTGCAAAAAACATTTATATATCTGCTCCCTTCCTATTAAGTGAAATTCTTGAGATTAAGGACAATGTCTCAGTGCTAAGATCTGTAGATACAGATACAGATATAAATGGAGATAGATAGAAACATATATATATGTAAATACATATATATTCAAAGATATATATATCTATATCTCCTAAATCCTAGCACACAACATATGATAGATACTCAATAACTGAGTGATGTGAACTAAGTTGAATCTGAATTGAGTTAGTGGGAAGAAGAGAGGAGGACATTATGCTCAGTCATTGGAATTTCATGGTTAAATATTTCACATGCAGAGCAGTTCCCGGAACAATAGGGAAACATGTTGGAGGTGAAGTTAGCTCAAACACAGTCTAGAAACTGAAGTGAGAGTGGGCACATCCATCATCATCAAAGATGTGGATTCATGGTCTAGTGTGATGACGGGAATTTGTGTGGAGTAGAAAATGGTGACCCTGAGTGGGAAGAGATTGTGAACTTCAGAAAAGAGACTAAGAGTGACAGTTTTTCACAGTTGTAAGAATGCTCTTAATGCAATAATGAACAATTAAGAAGATGATGATCCAAACTTCTTTCTAATGTATGCTCAAGGGAGAAAACTAAGTCTCTACCTCACAGACTTGTGTGGAAGTTTTATTATGCTGGTTTCCCTTTAAGTCATTTGAATGCTCCTTCTCAGTCTCCTTCCCCTGACTCTTTTTGTTCCAACACCACTGTAAGCTTTCTGCTCAATCCTCTTCCCTATGCCTACTCTTTGGGCCATCGAGTTATTCTTATGGCTTCAACCATCACTTATTCACTGATATCCCCTAAATCTGAAGTTTCTGACTCCACATCTTTCATGAGCTTCAGGACAGTTATTTACAATCCTCTTAGGAATATTTCCACTGTTTGGTCATTTAAACTCAAGATGTTAAAGGTCAAACTTATTATCTTCCATTCAAAACTTTTTAAAAAAAGATTTATTTATTTTTGAGAGAGGGAGAGCGTGCGTGTTCATGCGTGAGAGCATACGTGGTGGGGGCAGAGGGAGAGGGAAAATCTCACACAGACTTCCAGCTGAGTGTGGAGCCTGATGTGGGGCTCGATCTCACAACCCTGAGATCATGACCTGAGCCAAAATCAAGGGCCTGACACTTAACCGACTGAGCCAGTCCAGATGCCCCGTAACTTTTTTGCTTGTATTTCCCAGCCCAGTAAATGGTGTCACTACCCACTTAGTACAGAAAGAAACAGCACAGTGATTAAGAGCTTGGGTTCTGGAATTAGTCGAACAGAATGTGCTCAAACCTGGTTTTCATAAGTTACTACCTATGTGGTAACCTTCTCAAATTACTTAAATTTTCCAAACTTTGGTTTTTCTCCTCTGTTATAATCTTCGAAAGCTTGTGAAGAGGATTAAATAAGTACCTGCCCAAGCCCTCAAAACTAATCATGCCAACTAGACCTCTTGCAGTCATCCACTTTTCCCTTTCCCTTGGCACCGGTCTCTCCAAGCAACTGACCCCCAAGTTCAGTCAGTTCCTAAAATATATCTTAATATCTACCTTTGTCCATCATCCCTTACACTGCACCAAAAAATACTTCAACCCGTCTATGATTAACCTAGTTGTTGATAGCTTTTCAAAAATATAAATCAGATGATATCCTTGTCTTCACTTTCACATTTTTTTCAATTATGCCCTATTTCCTACAAAAGCAATGCCAAACTCTTTAGAGTCTGATATTTGTAGTCTTTCTTGAATTAACTTTCCAAGTCTGACTCTATATCACTCCCCACCATTCCTTACATTTCACACACTCACTCTCCAAACATACTTCTCCTGCCTTCATATCTGGTTTCTCTCCTAGATCCTCAGCCCCCACTTCTCCTTTGAGAATTCCTGCTCCAGCTCAAATGTGACTTCCTGTCTGTTGTTTTTGAAAAACTCCCAAGTGACATAGATTTCTCCCTCGTCATTTTCTCCACATGACTGAATACAAACCTGTCATAGCCTTTATCACACTATAATACAGCCATTAATTTATTTGTCTACCTTCCCAGCTATCCTCTGAGTTCCTCCTCAGAGGCAGAAAGAGTGAAATATTTATTCTCACTTTACCAGTCTCTAGCAGAATTCCTGGAATATACCAGTTATGTGAGATGCTCAATGAATATCTGTCGAGAGAATGAATGAATGAATGAATGAATGGATGAATGAAGAAACTATGTTCATTTCATTCACAACCTGAATGGTGCTTGCTATATCTTATTTTATTATTAATTAAATTCAAATCCTTCAGATATATATATATATATATATATATATAATATATGTATAATCTTTAAAAGGAAGCATTAATTTGAAATAGATGATCTCACAGTCTCTCTCCCAGCTCCAAAATTCTATGATCCTATTGTAAGCTAACCTAATGCTTTTCTCCAGGCATGTAGGTTTAGAATCTTGTCTGGGACAGATAAATTTGTAGAATAGGATCTAGTGGGTTGTTTAGGGTATATTTCCAATTAATTCTATCATGTTAACTTTAATAAATTATATTTTGTGAAGTTTATACTTTTCAATTAAGCAAAATTGAATTATGTGCAATTATGTGCAGTTAATTTTTCGAACTGGTAACATGGTGATGAAAGTGTTTTTTTCCTAAAACCTTGTCAGTTTGAGTGACATGTGAGTACCCAGCACTAAGCATCTGTTAGGGAAATCTTACTATTCTGTGTCTGTCACTAGAAAATTAGAACAAACGTTGCAAGACCTACACACTTAAAATGTTATGATGTGTTTTTAAAACTGCTTTCCACAGAAGGTCCTTTATTTTATTAGAAAATTATAAGCAAACAAGCCTTGTTTAATGGCTTTCAAAGTATAAGCACATTTCATGTCAAAATTGTATCACATTCAACTGCTTACTTGTGTGAGAAATCTGTCAAGCCCTGGTGCCCAAGAAAATAGGGTACCATGGCAGAAGATTTCTTGCTGAAGGATATAATGTATGCTCAATTAAACCAATAGAGCATGTGTAATGGTCTGATTCCATTGTAGGAAGAACTGTCAGCTTTCTGTTCTGGGATCAGAATTTTTTTAATGCCTGGACTTTTGGTGAATTCCATGTGACAAGTGATGCAATCTTAAGTTTGTAACTCAGGAAAAGTTGGGTTCTTTTTTCTTCTCATTTTCACGTCCAAAAATTCTTGGAAATCTTACCTTCTCTTCTTAATATCCTCTGTCCCTGCTCCCTTTCTACACCTCTTAGTTTGCTAAATATTTTAACTAGCAAAGAACCAACCATGAAATGCTAAAAGTATAGCCAGTTTTTCTTAGGGATCAGTTGTTGGTTGTGGTGTTATTTTATTTGAGAGTAATTCCCAAGTGCTTTATTGCTTCAAATATATATATTTTTTTAAAAAGTCTTTATATGCTTCAAAATGAATGAGATGTTAATAAAATGTGGTGTAAAAATCCCAGAGCACCCCAATGTCCCTTTTATATTCTGTGCTATTTGACAAGTTTATAACATCTCTGTCTCTCTAAGCCAACAGAGCTCACATGCAGAACTTTTCCAAAAAAAAGATGACAATAAATATATAAAACATAAGATACATATTTTTCTACATATTCTTTAAAAAGATGACTTCTCAACGTGACAAAATGATATTGGGTGTTACTAAACTGCCATCTACTGTGCTTGTTCACCCAGTACACAATATCATCATTTACAGACTTGCCTTTTTCAATGAATACAAGATTTCTTTTCTCCAGCTGCTTCTTAACATTCTTTCTTTCCCTTGTTCTAGCCATGTGTACTCCTCAAGACCAAGAAAAAAATTGTTTCAACTAATTATACTCCTACCAAAGCCTTTCACATCATTTAAGGCATAGATTGATTATTCACAGTGCCATGAAGACGTGTCAGTTTGAGACAAGAAGAGGTTTAGAGAGGTTTACACTTTGCAGAGTGCCACCTGTCTCCAAAGGGCACATTCATTAAAAAGCTCCAGGTGCAAGTTGTGGGAGCAAAACAGCATAATGCAGTCCTTTGCCTCCTTGTGCACCCTTTGATTAATAACATTCTCCTTCAGTTCTAGCAGATTGTGCACCATGTTCACTGCAAGAAACTTGAAATACCACCTACTTTTCTATCTTTCTCTGAATAGAGTAAACCGCCATTTATCTGTGACCTGAATCAAACAAATATACAAAATGGGGTATTCCTGGCACAATCTTCTTTAATAAGAAAGAACAGCTAATAAGCCCACTGAATGGTCTGATATTTATTCAATAAACAACATATAGTATGTGTCACTGATCAAATTTTACCTAATCCTCTCTGTCCTATAACCACACACGTAGAAATCCAATTGATATTTATACTGATAACCTTAAGGCATTGTAAAATTCTGAGTTGTCTCCTGAATCATAAAAATGGAAAACTGGCATTTATGAAACACCTACTATTTACTAGACA